AAAGAGATTCGTTACGAAACGTTTGTAGGCTAGGGGGCTTGGCCTGTTTATGCTATTCATAACGAAGGCTATAAAATGTGTAGGTACAACTTAGAAACTAAATCCTATGTATACTTATTTGTATTTATAACCCAATATCTGAGGTAGGTTGATGCGCTCCTTAGTTTTTATATAGTTCGTATTATTCTGTAATAAATTAAATCTAATCCAAAATATACTATAATACCATAGCAAAGCTACTACTATTTTATTTAGTAGTAGGCATCTAGATACGAATGTATAATATATTACTTACTACTTCATGTCACAAAGTAACGAGTAGTTTCGCGTGGCCGAGCCGAGCCCAGCCGAGGCGAGCTTGTGATGTGAGTGTTGAAAGTTGGAAGTATTCGTTCCTAGTGGAAAACGTCGACTTAGAAACTATATATAAAAACATGAGTAGGTCTGAGGTAAGGTTAAATATAAAATCAGTCAAATATTTGCCAAGTGCGAATCGGACTTCCGAGCTTCCGTACCATCGTATAAGATTTAATAATATACATAACATTATTATCGATCAAAAAAGCCAAAAATACACGTTTCTTTTTCTAGTAGGAAACCCCTTAATTTCAAATTTATTTTTACTATTTGTTTGTTATAGCGGCAACAGAAATACTCGTTCTGTGAAAATTACAACCATCTACCTATTACGGATCATGAGATACAGCCCGCTGACAGACAGACACACGGACAGCGGAGGCTTCGTAATAGGGTCTTGTTGGTTACCCTTCGGGTACGGAATCCTAAAAAGAACTTAGTTGTTCACTCACATCTGTACGGTTCTTTCTTCAAAGGACCATATTAGACAACTGGCTGGTTCTCGTATGACATGACCAATATAATACCTGGACTGAACTCTCTTAGTTTGTTTCGGCAGATTGGGTGCTTCTTCTCAGTTTCATGTTTTTGTCGTGTTAAAGTGTTTTCTAAAAAAACAACTTGCAAAACAAATATTATTTATCACTGACTGACCTTCTTAGATTCTTATGTACTTACATAAATTGGATTAGGTATATTAGGATATTAGATTCCTATAAGTAAGCACGATTATCGAAAATTTTAAAATTACCTATTCTAATTAAATTAATAGATAATTTAAAGATTTTCGATAATCGTGCTTATGTGTGAATGAGATGGTAACTGTTTTGCAATTTTCGTTCTTCTTATGGTATTTATTTCCGCCCAAAGATGTGTTAAAATTAGTGTTGAAATTTGGAATCGACGCTCATAACTTTTAAACATATTCTTTTTTTACTTTTTTGTTTCCATACAGATAATGATGAGACAAATTGAAATCATTTTTTTATTTTGAACGTACATCATCAAACAGTGGAGTAATCGCTAGACTACGTTTGTATGGAATAATTAGTGACTAGTGTACCCTTGACATTATAAACGCATGAATAAATTATGGCCTGACTATGGATTATTTGTGTAATTATTTATTACACGTGGTAGAGCCATGCTGCAGTTATATTAGTAGTATAGTTGTATCACGACTGGCTCGACCGGGGAAGGACCACGCTCTGTCAGAATACCAGCGTAAAATAGTAGCTTAATGCTGCTGTGTTTCGTATGGTGAGTGTAGAGATCCTGAGACTCTTTTTACTGGAAATGAAGCATTCCATCTTAGTCCTTACGGGTGACAACGCATCTGCATTTTGATTTTGATACGTACTCAAGGATAGATGCAGATGTCTATAGGCAACAGCATCCACTTACCATCAGGTGGACTGTTGCTTGTTTGTCACCCTACCCTATAAAATAAAAAAATAAAATAAATTCTGCCATCTGCCTTGGGATACTGGGGAACTTGTACAAATCCAAGCTGCCATTGCAAGCCTTTTAGGTAACTACAATAGTAAAAAGCTGGAAGTGGCTTACCATCAGGTGCACTGTGCAATCGTTTGACACCATATTCTGTAAAAAAGCACCAACGAAAGTGAGCTAAAAACTATTTTTTTAAAAACGATAAACAATGGTGTAATTTTTCAAGATAAATTCTAATTTCCATTGTCAGCTATGCGAATTATAATCTATACATAAAAATAAGTTGAAGTTTCTGTTATACTAAAATAACTGGCTTCTACATACTTAATACTACTATTTGCTACTATTAAGACAATATAAAAGGAATGGCCATTGTGATGAGACTTTACGAACAAATACGGAGCAATGCCAGGAAGGATCTAGGCAATTATACAGGGTTATTTCTCAAAGTGTAGTCAAATTTTATACTTAAGTTCAAATATATAAATAATGATAAACCGTTATTGCAGTTTTTCAAAATACGAGTAAAACAACAACATTTTGTCTACCGCTCGATCCTTACGAATGTCTGCGTGCGCAGTAAATATCAATAGTCACTAATCAGTTAAAATAATGCATTAACATACATTATGATAAAGATAAAAGAACAGAACGTTTGAGATTTTTTTATTAATTTTTCTTCACCATTTGCCTATATTACCCCGCTAGCTCGGGAAGAACAGCAAACAGGTTAATTATTTTGAACCTTCTCTGCAAATTTGCCCGGTTATAGCAAAATAACCGTGTATAAACGGTATTTATTATTTTATAGACCCGGGGTGGCTCTCTAGTATGATACAATATAATACATTCAGAGCATCAAAGGAAGTTGCCTTTTGCAGGTAACATTTAAGTAGTTGTGGAAATTGTATACTAATTGGTCAAGCAAGTAAGCGCGCTGTGCTGTGCACAAATCAATTTTATTCTTCGAACGTTTCTTCGAAATTTGAAATTTTGAAGCGCTCGTCGCGTCCGCTGTAAATAAATTCAAACACAAAAGTCAAAAACATCTGCCCCACACAACAGCTTGTATGTCACTGAGGTAAGGGGACGTATTCGAAGCGTATGTATATTATGTAGATAACGCATTTGCTGTTTTATTATTTGGAAGTTGGTTTTTTGAAACGAGGCGTCTATCCCAGAGCGGCAGCAGTGGCATCTATCCAGAATGGCATCTGCCCCGGTTTTACCCTATGTGTGGCTTGGTCAAATTATGTCGTTTGTTGACGTTCATAGTTCATACTATCACTGTCTCCAAGTAAGTACGTACAAGCATAATATGTATGTTTTTACCCCAATTCTAATGTTAAACACTTAATAGTATGTGGTCCAAAAGCCGTGAGATTAGAGATTGTTGCCAAAGAATTTTTAAATGTCGTCAGAAAATAATTACTGACAGCTTGATTGAATAAACTTCAACACTTCGATATACTCAACAAAATCAACTTAGCACCGCTGAAGGGACTGTAGCATTGCCCAAATTTTATAGGAGCTTTTTCATAGTCCACATAAGCAAGAAAAATGATTGCGGATTAGTAAGCTGAATTGACCGACATAGCGCAACTGATTAGTAAACTGAAGTGGCAATGGGCCGGCCATATAGCTCGACAACCAATGGGGGAAAAAGGTTTTCGAGGCAGCCTCGTACCGGTAGGCGTAGTATAGGGCGACTCCTTACTAGATGGAGTGACGACCTGGTAAGACATGCAGAAGGTCGATGGATGCAGGTGGCTCAGGACCGTGTTTAGTGGTATTCCTTAGGGGAGGCCTATGTTCAGCAGTGGGCTTGTGAAGGGCTACTGAATATATTCAGCAGCCCTTCACAAGCCTCCCCCAGAGATTGCCTTATATATTTACCATAGCAAGCACGCTTGGCAAGCGAGTTGGCAGCGGCGGTTTTTTATTTTTATACGTTATTAGGAAGACACAGCTGCCCATCTTCTGATTCGTTTTCCTCCGTCACCTCTTACGACACCCACGGTAATGTATGGGGTAGTGTATATTCTTCCACCGCCACTTTACGTCAAATATATTTACGTTTTATTCATTAATGTTTAGTTGAAAGTGAAATACAGTTTGATTAATACGCAAACTTAAAATTTTAATGAATGACTGTCGAATTCGGACCACTATCTCGTGTTAATAGTTATTTAGGCAAGTTAGAAAATAAAATGAAACGTAATACCGATATTTGACTCGAGAAATTAAAATTTCATTTATCTATCGTCATTTTTTTAGTCTACTACCATTTCAAAATAAGGCTTCATTATTCGGAGAAGAAACAAGTTATACTAAAATGGAAATGTTACGTTACTAACATATAAAGTCAGCTGGTAAGGTTATTACTAACGACTGCATACTGAATATGGTCATGCCTAATGGTCAACTGCAAAACTGTGTCAGTGCGAACAGTTGTTGCGTATACGTCACAGATTATGCTTTTTGCTACACATCGCCGCTTTGAATACGACTAGGTTCAAGGGAAGCCGGCCAGATCACCGACGTGTTCGTTCTCTATTAATAGTATCTCTCATCTGTTTAGCTGTTAGCTTTCAGTGCAGAAATGACCGCAGTCGCGAGCGACCAAAAAACCACGCATCGTCCGTCGCGATAACAATCGATGAAAACGCGATTTATCAAAAAAAGTTACTCCTACTGTTAAAACAAATTATTTTGTTATAAAATTTAAACGTCCTTAGATCAAATCGGCCACACTTACGAATTAATATTACCGTCATAAAGTCATTAGGCAGTGCAACTGTGCGCAATACTTGTACACTTAACTTATGCAATCGTTTTCAACAGCCACCGTCTGTGTGTAGCAATGTTACATTCGACAATCATTCCACAACAGGTGTTTGTGTAGTGACTATCACAGTAGGTTTATTAAGAAAATAAAATAAAATAAATTTAACGTGTAAATAAACTTGTAAATGTTGAAAAACAAAACTGACATTGGTGCTATTTAAGAGTGAATGCCAAAGAAACGTGACGTTTGGCAAAATGCCAATTTTCAGTAGGAACAGCTGACTGTAAATAAACAAATTAACACTTAATAGTAGCTAAATAATATTTACGGTTATGAAAAGATTAAAGTGGTTTTTATATGAAATGATTGGGACGACGAAAAAGTGGAAAAAAATCAAGATATGATGACTGGAACGGGTTCAAGCGATAGCGACGGCCCCTTAATAGATGATAACATAATACGTATTCAACTAAGAAAGCCTTCTCACAGAAAATGGGAGCTTCGAACTCGAAACCTGTCTCCAGATATCAGATTCCCTATAATACAGCTATTTGATTATGAAGGAAATCTTTTAGTGGAAACAAATGAAGAAAATATATCTATTAAAAGTTGTGATTACGACAAATCTCAGATACGGGCCAGCCAATCTTTTGGAGGAAAGGGCTACAAACATATTATCCACAGAAAACTTATACGTAAGCATCACACGATTTCAGGTGATAAAGTTTACACGCGTATATATAAACCTACTGTAGAAAATGAGAAGAACAAAATAGCTTATATTGTTGAGAATAGTAATAGTATTTGTAACATTCCAAATGAACTCGCAATAAATTATAATTTTTCTAATAGTCTACAACCAAGCAGTGTCGAAACCACGCCTTTGCACTCAGAAATAAGCAGTTATAAAAGTTCGGATAATGAAACATGTGAAGATGAGGAACAAGTTTTTATCGCTAGAACTGAATTAAACAATGATATAGAAGACAAAGTAAATGATAATAAATTTTCCGCTGCTAAAAATAGTGAAAACGAAATTGTGTTTAGTGAGGTAAATAAATCAAATTATAGTCTTAATAGATCGCAATCGTTTAGTGATACAGCGTTAAGAGATCAAATAAGAAAATGTACTGATTACTTAATACCACGTTCAAGTTCCGGAGCCAATATTTATAATTTCCCGCGAAATAAAGTTTCCTTCTTAAACACTTATTTAAGAAGTATAGCTGTGCGCAGAGGTTTAAACGCCAACTGTTCCGTCTTATCTGAAAGTAAGAAATTCTTACAAAATTCTGAGTCTGATAAAAAAATCGATAAAGAGGTGAAAGACGAAAAAACTTCTAAAATTCATCTTATCAACACAGATCGAATTAACGGGAATAAAAGGGAAGAAAACATATCAGAAAATGAATTTATTTATAATTTACCGATGGATATTGCAGCGCACTGTGAATTAAAAAAGCGAATACAAATATACCGACGTGGACTATCAGAAATAGGTCAACGGGAAATAAAATTGTGCAGACCAATAAGAAATAGAAGAAATTCTATAAGTGGGCCTATACATGTTACACAATCTTCTTCATCAGAGAGTGTGGACGAAGCCGATGTGGTACTTAATCGGTTAAAGCGAAGAATATTCAAAAATAAATCGAGAGAGAGGCGGCGAAGTCATGGATCAAAACAAGATTTAAGTAAGAATTTTAACTATATTCAGTCTTTTCATGGGAATTTTTGCAGCAAATGAAATTATTTTTAATGCCTTTGTCTATCAAGATTTTCTCGTTTTTCATTGAATATTTTTGATGCAAATTTGAATATTTATTGCATAATATAAATGGTGTATTAAATAAGTTGGGATACATAGCTATATCCTAACCGACAACTGATGAAGAATAGAGGTTCTCGAGCGACAGCCTCGTACCGGTAGGCGAAGTGTGGGGTGACCCCCCACTAGATGGAGTGACGACCTGGCAAAACATACAGGAAGTCGATGGATGCAGGTGGCTTAGGACCGTGTTTGTGGCATTTCTTGGGGGAGGCCTATGTTCGGCAGTGGACTTGTGAAGGGCTGTAATGATGATAATGACTATATAGATCTATCCTAGGCCTTCTCCTATTTCCGAATGGACCACGGAGTATTTAGACCGCCGTGCTGCTCCAGTATGAGTTGGTTAACATGTACGCGAAATATTTTATTCCTTAAACATGCTGGTTTCCTCACCGGGTTCCATCACCGACAAGCGCGTGGTTAGTTTACTACAGTACTAATTTCGTTTAGTCATAGACAAACGATCTTAATCACATCCACATAAGTTAAAAAAATTTCAATAACTAAGAAGAATAAAATAATTTCTACATAAGAACTTCTAAAGTCGGAGTTTTTATGCTTTTCAGTTTTTTAAAGTTAGTTTTTATCTTTTAGTTAAAGTTTTCTCGTATAGGAAGCGGACATTAAAAACTATTATAAAATTCTTCTTTCAACTACTTACGACTTAAAATTCAACAACTTTTAAGTATCTAAAACTAAAAATTAAACAGCTTTATGATTTAGAGTTGTTGAATTTAAAGTATCAGATCTAATTTTTTTAAAGCATTGGGTAACAAACGAGCACCCAGTCCACCTGATGATAAATGGGTGCTGTAGCCCATAGACATCCATTTATTCTCAATTAAGAATCAAAATGCAAATGCGTTGTCACCCACGAGGACTAAGATGGAACGCCTCGATTCCAGTAAAAAGGGTCTCCAGTTCAGTAGCTTGAAAACGTCTGCCAATGCAGCGGGTCGGACTTGGGGCCGTTTATTTGTGCTGTTACTGATGGGGGTATATTTGCCATAGTTGCCACACTTGGCAAGCGGGTTGGCAACCCCAGTTTTTTATTGTATAATTGCTGTTATCAGGAAGATGCTACTGTCCATCTCCTGCCCGTTTCCCTCTGTCGTCTCTTACGACACCCACGGCAAGATGAGGTAGTGGGCCCGCCACTACACGGGCCCATAATTAACACTTTCTTTTTGTATTTTTTATTTTTATAGGATAGGGTGACAAACGAGCACACAGTCCACCTGATGGTAAGTGGTTGCTGTGGCCCATAGACATCTACATATATCCTCGATTACAAATCAAAATGCAGATGCGTTGTCACCCGTGAGGACTAAGATGGAATGCCTCGTTTCCAGTAAATAGGGTCTCCGGTTCTCTACACTCACCATACGAAACACAGCAGCATTAAGCTACTATTATACGCTGGTATTCTGTGAGAGCGTGGTCCTTCCCCGGTCGAGCCGACCCATTCGTGCTACAACTATACTACTAATATAGCTGCAGCATGGCTCTACCACGTAAAATTATATTTATGTAATTATATTGAATAAAACTTTATAGTTTTGATAAAATAATAATACAAAAATATAATTACACACAGAACAAAAAAGAAAAGTTATAAAAAAGAGGTGTATAACTTAAAATATGATTTTAATTGAATAATGTTAACTTATTAATGTACTAATAATGTTCATCTTTATTTCATATAACCATGCATTAGAACTTTATAGTATAGAAAACTGTCTAAATTTGTTGTAACTATGTTCAATTGTCAAAGCACCCGCAATACACAATTTAGTAGGTTTCGTAACCACCACGCAACCGCAAGCTTTGCTTCTGTATGATTGCCCTGGATGAGTCGATGTATCTCTCAATCTGGTCAATTTTGGATCTAACATATCTCACATGAAAGTATTGCCTCATTATATATCTCAGACCAATCGAAACCCTTGTTATCTAGTATTTTTCTTAAACTCGTATAGAAAAGGTATGTATGGTAATTCATAATGCTGTGTTAATCCCTTTAATGTATGGTAGTGAAAGTTGGGTGTGGGAGAAGAAGCACGAAAGTAGAATAAATGCTGTAGAAATACGGTCTTTAAGGAGTATGCTAGGGCTGAATCTGAATGACAGGTCGAGAAATTGTGTGATAAGAGAAAAATGTGGTGTGCAAGATGATATTGTGACTAGGATTAAGAAAAGAAGGCTTCGGTGGTTTGGTTGTGTAGAAAGAATGAACGAGGAAAGAGTGCCAAAGCAAATTTATATTGCAGATGTGAACGGCAGAGTCGGAAAGGGACGCCCTAGACGAAGGTTTGTCGACCAAATTGGCGATATTTTGAAGATGGGCCACATTATGAGTACCCTTAACCGTCGAGCTTGTATGCGTAGATATATGGATATAGTGGAGGCGAGAGAGGTGTGTCAGGATCGTGCCAAAATGAAGTTCGTAGTCTATGCCTACCCCTATGGGTGACAGGTTTGAGTGTTCATGTATTATTATTTTATTAGGTTTGTAATGCATTCAAAATTTCATTACATTGTTAACATAACTATTTTATTCAAAATTCAGAATAATAAGCATCCTTTGATTTCTCTATACAACTAATGGTCCAATCTTAGTTAATAATTATTAAAACTTTATTTTTATGTTTTTGCTGTACACCTGTTATTATGTTTAGATTTAAAGAATAAGAAAGCTATAGTATAAAAAGAAATATATACTAAGAAAGCTAAGGGCTACAAACAACACGCTGTGTGGCTTTCCATCTTTCCTCAGGAGTAACATCACATCTGAAGTCGTCGTTTGCAAAAAATTAACAACGTCGTTTGAAACAAACGTTTTGTTGAAGTTGGTTGACAGTATTCATGGGCTATAGTCACTGACCGTCAAGTGAAATATATGTTATATGCTCATCCGACACTCTTTAATGTTACTAACTAAGAAATAGTCTCTTAATATTGATGTAAATTTCATTTACAATAAATACGAGTGAAAATGAATTACGTTACTGAGTTTAGATATGAGAATAATTTTCAAGTTACGGCAATACTTTGTTCATGGTTCTTTTTAATTTTATAACTATTAAAATTTTAAACTAATTATAATAAGAATAGTTATAGCGAAATAAGAATAAAATGTAAAAATAACTTTTTCTTTTTTTTTTAAGTGTTGTAGCTGTAATCATAATTTTGTCTAAAACATAATAAGGGGTGTCTCAGTAAGAGTGGACTTTTTCATTTTAAAATAAAAACAAGTATTTTATGACAGAGTTGTGATATTTTTATTGTATTGTAAAGAAGACATGTTCCGATTAAGTATGGAATAAAATATCCGGCAAATGACAGGTCCAGGCCATTACTCTTTTCATGAAATTTTCCATGACATTTGCACAGAGATGTGGCTGTATCTCACCGATGACGCGTTGGATTTCCGATTTGAGCTCAGGAATTGTTTCGGGTTATTCGCATAAACCCGAGATTTCACAAAACCCCAAAGAAAAAAATCGCACGGCGTTAAATCGCACGATCTTGGTGGCCAGTTGACATCAGAGTTTCGTGAGATAATGTGTTCTGGAAATCGTTGCTGCAATAAGTCGATTGTTTCATGCGCGGTGTGGCAGGCTGCGCCGTCCTGCTGAAACCACATGTTGTCCAGATCCATGCCGTCCAGTTGAGGCCACAAGAAGTCCGTTATCATATTCCTGTAACGAATGCCGTTCACGGTCACTGCAATTTCGGCCTCATTTTCAAAAAAGTAAGGTCCAATCACGCCGCCTGACCAAAATCCGCACCAGACAGTTACTTGTTGTGGGTGCATTTGTTTCTCATGGATTGCATGAGGATTTTCTGAGTCCCAAATCCGACAATTTTGTGTATTCACGAAGCCATCCATATGGAAATGCGCTTCATCGGAGAAAATGACTTTTTCCGAAAAATTGGTATCGACTTCACTTTGCTCCATTACCCATTGAACGAATTGCCGGCGCTTTCCGTGGTCTGCTGGTTTGAGCTCCTGAGTTAACTGAATCTTGTACGCATGAAGGTGGAGGTCTTTAGTCAAAATTCGCTGCGTAGTGCTTCGTGAAATTTGAAGTTGTTGAGAACGATGTCGAATTGATGTTTTCGGGTTTTCGGCAACACTCTCGTTTACAGCAGCAATGTTTTCAAGAGACCGACCGGTACGTTGACGCAAAGGATTCTTATTATCCATAATTGACCCAGTTTCTTTAAATTTTTTAACCACTCTTCGAATGGTTGACACATTAGGTGCACTTTCTCGGCTGAAAATTTGGCGAAGTTTGCGAGCGGTTTCAGCGTAACTTTCCCCATTTTTGTAATAAGTTTTCACAATTATAACGCGTTGTTCTTTCGAAAACCTCTCCATTTTTAATAATGGTAATAAACAGGGACGACAGCTGTCAAATTTCAGAGTTGCCACTTGCATGAAAAAAAATATTCCAATTTTAAAAAGTGCACTCTTACTGAGACATCCGATATAATAATCGAATACATAAAAAGTTAATATCTTTGTTTATTCATATTACGTGCGTTGATGACAACACCGTTTTACAACGGTATGAACCGTTCTAAAACTTTGTCAACTTATTCTTTGCACTTGCGCTAAGGATATAGGTATAGTACAATTAACATTAAGCAGGCGGTGCGCGTATCGTATCGACAAATTTGTTTGAAAGTTATATATAATTCCAATTAATGTATTATCATTCCTAATTATTAAACAATATAATTCTTCTGAATTTAAAACTTTATTTCCACAATTATTTCTTCTGCGGGAGCAACGCGCCAAGTAACAGCTATATTTTAACAAAAATACTTAACTTTTACCTTTAAAAATTAAAACAC